TGAGCCAACTGGTTGGTTGAAGGCGTCAGCATCAAGGAACATCCCGTGCATGTCCGTGACAGCCGAGGTGTTCCACGAATCGATGGGCTGGTCGAAGGCACGTGCTCCCTTGAACATCGTGCTCATGTCCATCACCGCTGATGTGTCCCATGTCCCAATGGGTAAATTGAAAGCTTGGGCGTTCTCAAACATTCCACGCATATCGGTCACTGAAGCGGTGTTCCACAAACGGAGATCTTCGTTGAACGTGGGAAGGTCCTCAGGGAGCACTATCGAGCACCGGTTCAAGCAGGAACAGCTCCAGCTTTGTAGAAGTATGCCCTGAACATTCCTGAACCCGTCAGATTTCGACTTGCCGTCCTGGAACAAACCGCTCATGTTGCTCACGCCAGAGACATCCCAGCCCGAAATCTCACCGTATGTCGCCACAAGGCCCCTCCTTCCTGTCAGGAAGGCAGATAGGCTTCGGGTTTGGCAATCTTGGGATGAGGGGCNNCCCCCAAGACCCTTTTGTAATTATTATAAGCCGAAGCTGCAAGGGCTCCCTGTGTTGGGCATGGACGAGCGACCGAAGGCATGCCCAAGCATACCGACGCGCAGATTACGGAAGGAAAAAGCAATCAGTGGTTTAGGGACAGTTTGCTCTTACGGCTCAGGATCATCCAGAAATCTTCACGCTGTCGTGTTCAGGTGCCTGTCTCACACTTTGGGCGCAAAGCGGACCCCGCCGAGCGTCCTGCCGAACCATTTGCCCAAGCAACCACAGCCTCGCGCAACTCGCGCCTTATTTCAGAAGGATCAAGGCATCAAAGAGGAAACCAACAAACTAGCGACGCGAAAAACTGTCAAATTGTGCGATAAGATTCGCAGAGCCGCAGTCACAAGACTGATAGAAGCACTGTCGACTACTTCGAAGTTCAGAAACGGAGACGGGCCTAAAGGCTTAGCCCCTCTGGGAGTCGGATTCAGCTGGGACGCCGCGTGCGGAACGCACGAGAGCAGCTCCCAAGAGTCGAGCACAGCGCCAGCAGAACGATGATCATGACCATGCGGTCAGCCACGCAAAACATAGTAGTAGAAACCTACTAGAAGTATGGGAATTGCTTGCGAAGATGCTCTTGTCAATGCTGTTGTGCTTGGTGTCTTTTTGGCTACTTCTGTTTCGCGAAGTTGCAAGCTTGTATCCCGGCCCCCTTTTGCACAAGAATTTGATTTGGCTACCTCCATCTTGGCACAAGCCGCTGATGTAGAAACGCAACGAGCGGCCGAGACTTGCGAAAGGCGCGGATTGCCCAAGGAACCCTTTCGTCAAATTTCGTCGCACAGCGGTTGCTCGAAAAGCTAGTACGCTTGCCCGGCCGCAGGGTCCCTGATTCGGGGGGGTAAACGTAAGGTTCGGGGAACAATCTACTCAATGGGTATGATTTTGGTCGATATACGAGGTACTGTTGTAACTTGTAACCATCGGGATGTTCCTCCAAAGCCCTGCACAACCACGTTTTGGAGGAACAATACTGCAGATGGACAAAACCGTGCAAGATCTCTGAGACCACAAGCACAGAGTTGTCGGCTCTCGAAATCTCCAATGCCCCTGTGATCTCAACGTCGGTTGCACGCACAGTCTCCTCTCAGCACCGGGCCCTACTACAACGACGATGTCTAAGAGGCAGATCCAAGCCTTCGGCGCACTGCTTCTCTCGCAGGCAGGCTTGCAGAACCGAAGCAGAAGCAGTGTCGATCGACGGCTGGGGTCGTGCTGAGTTTCGCACCCAAAAGATGGGCGAAGCTTCCGAAGGCAAAACGATCTCAGTCGCTCGGCCTTTCGAGTGCCACGAAGCTTGGGCAAAGTGCTATCTCCGGCCTTCCCCTCCCGGCCCTGGAGCAGTGAGTTAAGGGCTTTCCTTTGTCTAACTTGTGTCAGGGTTCACTTTGGGTTTGGGGAGTTCGCCGGAGTTGGAGGTCCAGGAGTCTGAAAGCTTCGACTCGCACACTCGCTGAAGCAGGCAAGGATTCAGGCGAAACTAGTCTGAGGGTTTTGCTATTTCAAGGCGGAAGTTTGGTGGCAAGATGGCCCTAAACCCTTTTGAAACCGGACTTGATGACTGCCCGGACTTGATGACGGCCCTAAACCCTAAACCCTAAATCCTAAACATCCTAAANNATCCTAAACCCTAAGGGTCCTGGGATCTGAGAGCCTTGTCGTTCCGCGTGTCGTTTCTCACACTCGGACTCTCCAGGCGAAGCATGCGGGCGTAACCCCGGTGGAGGGCATAGAAAGCTTGTCTTTTTCATTCTGATCGAAAGTTTAGGGTTCAGGGTTTGGGGTAAAAGAAGAGATGTCAATGGGCAGTGATTCGGGCATCCAGCTTGAGTACTGCTAGTACGGCAGTGCCGGCGGCTAGTAAGTCGGGGTACATTCAATACATGTAGCAGCCCCAACTAGCCAAACAACCACAACGGCAAAGCAGATGTGCGATTTTCAGAAATGGGCGATGCTGGTGCAACCTCTTCAAGCCTCTGGGGACCAGACTTCACCGTGCGACCATCCGGCAGCTTTCGCGCCGCAGCTGCATCTGCAGCGACCTCCCAGGCAGAAAAAGGGTCCAAGCCAGCAGAAGTAGTACGGTTCCGGGATTCGCCATTGGATTTCCGCCCTTTTTGGCACATGGCCCAGACAAAAAATCCCGAAGTGGAAGCCCTCGAACTTTGAAGCCCCCCCCGCCTTCGGCCGCCAAGTGCAGGCAGCTACAAACCTTCAGAACTAGCCCGGGTCTCTGATGTGATGTGGGGGGGGGGGGGATAGGCGACGAGAAATCTACTCCATGGGAGTTTTAGGGTTTAGGGCTTAGGGGTAGAATGTCGGTCGATACACGAATTACTTGAATTCCTTACCAGTTGCATCCATCGGACATCCCTCCCCAGCCTCATACCCGGCCATTTTTGGAGGAACTATCCAGTGGATGGACAAAAAATCATGCATGACCCCTTAGGCCTCAAACCAGAAGCCTACTGTTGTCAGTGATCGAACTCCCCCTGCCACCGTTGACTACACGCACAGAGGCCCCTCTCAGCACCGGGCCCCACCGCAATGACGATGTCTCAGAAGAAGACCCCAAGCCTTTGGCGCAGCATATAGACCCTAAACCCTAAACCACAGAAACACGCGGGAGTGTCGCGCTGAGTTTTCGCACCCAAAAAAAGGGAGCCTGAAGCTTCCGAAGCTGAAAAAAAAGCACAGGAAAGCGACCTCGGTCTCTCAGGTCGCGAATCTTATTGGGCCAAGTGCTATCTCACCTCTGAAATCGGAGGTTTCAGTATGCTTTCGTCTACCTGAGTGGTTTTTTCGGCCTTACGTGGGGCTACGTATAAATGGCAGTACATAGCCGGATTTGTGCCTGAGGGCTTCGGAGGTTTAGGAATCCGAGGGCTGAAGGCTCAGATATTCGATCCTGAAGCTTCCTAAACCCGACCTGGACCCGAAAGAACCCCACCATTCTTAGGGATACTTATTATGAGTTCTTCATGTATAAGTCCTTAATAAAGGAAGGTTATTTCGAGGCCCTAAACCGTCAAGATGGTCTAGAGGCCTCAAGTCTAAGTGGCTTGTGGCTCCGGAAGTGCTCGGGCTTTCCAGGCGAGGCATGCGGGTGTGAGTGTGCCGAAGGTCGTCTTGTGCATTGTGAATCAGGGTTTACGCATTCACAACTCTCACAAGGGTTTAGGGTTTAGGGTTTAGGGTAATTCTGACGGCCTAGCAGAGACGTGATTCGGTCATTCGGGCACTCAGCTTGGCTACTGCTTCTACAAGCAGTGGCCCTGCGGCTGGTGGGGATGCATTCACCGACAGGTCGTTTTCAATAGCAAACAGCCCAACAACAACCGAGGAAGTGAAGAGGTGAGATTTTCAGGGAAAATGATCGACTCGATAAACCCCAAAACCCTCGTATCCAGTAATAGCAAAGACGCTCCCAACAAGTATCCAGCAGCTTTCTCGCGCGGCAGCTGCATCTGCAGCGGCCTCCCAGAGAAACAAAGGGACCAAGTCACCACACGAAGTCGGAAGTACGGTTCAGCGATCAGTGCTGGATTCCGGCTTTCTGGTGCGGGGTCCGGGAAAAAGCTCCGAAGCTGAAGCCCTTGAGATTTCGAAGTGCACCACCTTAGGCCGCCAAGCTTCAGACCTCGCCTCAAGCCCGGAAAACTCCAACCAACCACCTACGCATCAAACCGCTGAATTCTCAAACTCTTGAGTCCTGGGCTCAAACCCTCAGACCTGTACAAACCTCATTGCGCTGGAACATGAAGCCCAAACCCTACAATCTACAACCTAAGCCCAAACGGAACCCTAACCTATCCTAAACCTTTTGTGATCCGAACCCTACATCGGCAACTCCAATCTTCCCACGCTTTACCCCTAGATGCGCTTCCTCGGAGCCAAAACCCTAAACCTACGGAAACCTGAAATTCTCAACCTGCCGAGCCTCCGAAACTCAACAAGTGGCGAGAAACTTTCACAACCCTGAGCCTGTCCTCAACCCTCAGCCTTTCGAAGCCTAGTTACTGTGCACATGGAAGGGTTCTATGGGCCCAAACCGCTAGAAGTCACCTACTCATCTGCTAGGGTCCTGGAACCAAGCTTGCAGATTGTGCCTGTGAGCTTGGCAGCCTGGCAGACTGCAACACCAACAGATTGCGAGGCAGTTGGGTAAGATCGGAGCGCGCAGCGCACGGCAGAACGCTTTGATTTCAAAAGAGGGTTCCTATCCTAAGGAACGCTCAACGGAATCCTGAAAGGATGCCCTACAGGAACCCTTACAGGAATGCTCATACCCCTACAGGATGCCTTTTGTGACATCTATAACACCCTAGGTGTTTTGCCATTGGTGCGGGTCCGGTGTTGCTACCGGGACGTCAAAGCGAAGGCTGCATCAAGCAGTACTCTGGGTTGTAGTTTTAAGTTTTGGGGCCCCGAAAGGTAGTTATGCACACGTGCCGCTTTAGGACGGGAAAGTTTAAAGTTTCCCAAACTGTCACCTAGGACTGTAGATTAGCTATCGATTCGTTGGTTCACGACGAGACTCGCTGCTCCTGGTACTTGCAAATCGGAAATTCATTACCGAAAGCCAGCTTCGCACATCCTAGACACTGACACAGATCTTGCCCATGTGCTCAAGCCAGTAGCTTCAAGCGCCTCCGACGTCTTCCATCAGGCTCGGAACTCGCACAAAGTGCCCCAATCATATCCAGAACAAAACATCTCCAGGACATTTCAGACCTTGACTTCAGAACTCAATGGCGTTGCCCCTGTATTATGATTCAGGAGATAGGAAACACCTCAAACTTCAGCCTCAACTTTGCGAAAACATCTTCACTGCACCCATAACACTTCAAACGCTTCTGGAAGAGTAGGTGCCATAAGACTTCACAAGCGCTAAACCCAAAACCCGACGCCTTCAAGTATTGCCAGACCCTTCTCAGATGCAACCTTAGAGGAATTCAGCACACCAAGCTACAAAACACTAGGCACATAAGACGTTGGCAGTCGGCTGCATAGGATGCGGGCTCCACCTCTTCTGGCACTCTCTTCTTCGAGACGCTGCCTGCAGCACCAGCAAGCCAAAGGCCGGAGCCGTGCGGGCATGGGTGGACTCACAGGAGCGGTGTGCCTGTTTTACGCAGACTGGACGAGCTTGCAGGCACTATTGGCCTTATTGTGTGCCCTACACTGATTCAGCACTTGTGGCCGAGCTGTGCATTGAGGTCCTTAAAATCAAGCCTAGGCA